TATATAATACAAGCTTACCTAGGTGAAAAACTAACGATGATTTATGTGCAACATTTAGATTTGTTTATATTCTGAACTTTGCTGTCACTTGCGTATTTTTTTTCTTTCTTTTTCGCCACGACCCATTTTATTTCTCTCGATCCACTGAAGGGTCGGGACCCACAGTTTGAAAAACCCTGTGTTAGGTTACTGGTTACCCAGGCAATTTATATCTAGTCTAACTTTATAATGGTTTAATATTACATATAGTACCCTGTTTTTAAATTCACGGTATAATAAGTAAAAGTAAATAAGATTTAAAGTGACCATTTATTATCTTCGGAAGTGTCATAATCATTGCAAATTATATTCAGTCACGAACTTTGTGTGGCTTTTTCATCACGGCCGATTCGTATTACAGCATCCTTTTTAAATGTGCAATTAATTTTGAAAAGTGAGCTTTTGTTTTCTCCAGATATGTTCAAAGCTAGTGGATGTTACAAAAGCTTCTTAGGGACAGGCCTCAGTTGTGTTTATGTGGGCGGTCTTGGTAGTATCTGTCGTTGGTGAAAATATTTACCCAAACATTTATAATAAATAAAAAGAAGACGTAAGAACGTAAATTTTTTTTATTTTTTATTTTTCGACAAAGAACACACTAAAAATATCTAGGATTTTTGTTACATGCCTTTTCCCAACCCTGAACAGGAAAGCTAGTAGATGTTACAAAAAGCTATCTTTACTAACAAGTCCAGGAGGTCATATTGTAAAAAGCTGTCAACCTACACGTCAGAAATAAATATTCTCTAAACGGCTTCTACTCAAAGTATCATCTTATACAGAACGGGCCTCACTGGTCGTTAAGAGCGCGATGTGTATTAATTGTAGAGGAAGTAAGAAAGTTAGTACCAAAAGCGAAACAGTTTCGTAGTCGGAATAACTCTCGAAAATCAGGTGAGAAATATGTGTGTGCGATTCGCGAAGAGACGTTTTGTTTCATTTTATTATTCCTTTTTTTGTTGTATTTTTTTTTTTTTTTTAAATTTTATTTTCGTGTTTGCTTCATTATTACAAATTGACTGGATAAAATTTATTTTATCTCTCTGTATGCTGGACGGGTGTGAAACTTGGACACTCTTGGTTGGGACAGGAAAAAGGATCCAGGCGTTCAAGAAAAAATGCTTGAGAAATCTCCTCCACATCGCCTACTGGGAGCACAAAAGCAACAACTATCTATGGGTCATGGTTAAGTCTCTTGGGCCGAAAGGAATCTCTCCTCGCCAGTATTAAGGTCGGACAACATCAAAGAATGGACAGACATAACAATGCTGGAAATCCTGAGAGCCTCCGCCGGTAGATCATCCTGGGTGAGGTTTTCTTCTGTCCTTTGGTTCTCCAGACAATTGAATCAGTCAAGGAACTGGTTATCATGATATTCTTTCTCACAACAGAATTTGACTTTTCCTCATGTTCTTTGCAGCAAATTCTTGCCGATGGTCTTAATTTTAGGAAAACAACTATTCATGACCATTTTGTGTTCAGCAAACTCTGAGAGTTGAATTCGCCAAATTTCCTTTTCGCCATTAAGCTTAAACATCACACGTTTGAAATGTACACTCAATTTTTCAATTTTTTCGTTCCTGAATTCTATTACCCTAAGAGAAAAATATACTAATTTGACTACTCGTGCCCTCTCTTGTTCACCTGAAGGAATTAACTCTGATCAAGTTAGCATTGTGACATTTACTGTATGAACCAGGAAGATTATTTGCGGAAAATTACTGCTATCATCATCTTCGTTTTTGCTAGTTTTTTTGTTTCGTTTTTTTTATTTTTTTATTTTTTTTATTTCTCTGTTTAGTTAATTCTTTAAAAAGCGCGAAAAGTGACATGGGGAAACGTTGGGTTACAACTTGCAAATTTTAAAGAAAAATCATAGAATGTCCATTGGCTTTATTAAGTAGTTTTTTTTTTTTTTTTTGCAATTCTTAAAACTAAATATTAAGGACTTTTGGTTGTGTTTGTTTTTTTTAATTCGTCAAAATTTATAAAATTTAAGCATATTAACAATGCGGTACCAAGCATATAATTAATGATAATTAGTTTGCACCTTAAAACTTCCACAAGTATTGAGAACTAAGATCTTACTACTCCTGCGCGTGTGTACCCGCCACGTCGTTTGTTGAAATTAAGCAATCGGCTTGCTTTAGACTGCTCGGCCATGGAGAGCTTCACAGTCCAAATAAGTTGAATTGACTTTTTTTAAAGGATACACATTTTCTCCATTGTTCATATATTTTACGTTTTTTCTTTTATTTGCGTATCCGAAACGCAATCCTTTCTAAGGAATTAATGGGTTTTTATTTTCAATCAGACATACTCTGATGCACTCTGTGGTCGATCTGTCTAAAGCTCGTCGGATCAGACGATGGTTTCGCCTACAAGAAGGGAGACCTAGGTTCGGACTCTGCCGGACAGTTATTGGTTGTAAGGTTCGGTTTTTTATTGTGTTGTGGGTCGACATGTTAAAACAAGAAGCATCACTTTCAGAATCTATCACAATATCTACACTAGCGAAGATAAATTTAAGACCGATGGTTAAAGTTTTATTCATTTCACAATATGTTTGTAATAAAGAAATATAAATTAGGTTTTTTTTTTTTTTTTTTTACGGTTTATGCAGAATTTATTTCTCTTTCGAATGATGTAAAAATTGTGTATTTTTCTACAACTTAAAAAATGTTAATGGTGGATTAATTCAAATTATCCAAATTTGCCGGAAAAATAAGTTTAAGACCGCATGGGTATTATTATATTTAAAGCAAAAATGATAGTAAAAAATGAGCCCCCCCCCCAAAAAAAAAATTAACAAAATATTAATATTTAGTGCCGTAATCTTATTAATTACAACTTTAAAAAAAAAAAAAAATGAAAATTCGAGATAGCAAGCCTGTTTTATTTTTATTTTGTCTCCATCGATTTCCTTTCTTTATTTGATTTTCTTTTCGTTTTTCTCTGGCTTTCTTACGCAACCTTTCCGCTTTAGAACTACCTTTTCTACTTCCTCGTCTCCTGTTACCCCCCCAAAGTACTGCTGCGTAGACATGAATAGATGGACAGTTGATGGCTTTATTTTGTATTCGTCTGTAATACTTTCCTCAAAGAGCGCTGATACGCTGGTCCCCAGCGAAAACTACCGATTCATACGTAAATAAGCTTCCACTTTTTTACAGATACTATGCTAGTCTGCATATAAAACGGCTTGCAAATAATATTGGAAATCTTATTAAAAAGAAAAGAACCTGAAAAATATTTAATTTACTTTTTAAAGATATTTGATAAAACAGTCCGCCCCACAAGACATATTCATAAAAAGGAGTGGCGAATGCTACACTGTATCTCATACTTGAAAGTAACAGACCGCCTCTCATTGCTTCTTATATCGCTGGATTCGAAGGTATTGATTCTAAATTCGCGTAACTATAACAACCCGCATGACTAGTATCGTTAGGTAAATACAAGTACCAGTTCTACTACGAAGTCACTCGTCGGAGGAAAATAAATCTGACGAAAGACTACATTGGTTTGTGCATATGGGCTTTGTGTGCAGGCGTCTTTCATTTCAGAGATTACGTGTTTTCACTAAAAGAACGGCAACAAATACAGATTTGATCGCATTAAATATTTTGGAATCATTAGTGATCGGTTTTAACTCAGATTGACTTCCGGCTAATAATTTTTCCAATAGAATTTTATGGCTTCTGTTTAAAGTTACATCGAAAAATAATCCTGTTTATTTATTTATTGAAACAAGATAAATATCTTTCCGTTCTTGTGTCTCAATTAGAAATTTAATTAAATTTTATTATTTTTATATTGTAATAAAAGCAATATGAGAAAGAGAGAACAAATTTTACTTAACGATCTTTCATTCTATTGATGGGTCAATAATATTACATTAAAGTGTTGGTTCCTGAATTTGTTGATATAGTAATTATGAGTTCTATCTTTGAACCTGGCAGTGCAGACTCATGCAGAGTTTTCCCTATTTAATCTACATATTCAATTCGAAATTCCCCGAAGGTTACCTGGATCGATAGACAACTGAATAAGGTTTGGTTTGGTTTGCTTAACAGCATATCAACTCCTTATAGGTCATTTAATATCAAGATTTTATTTTCTTGTGACCATTACTTTTTTTTGGTTTCGAAAGAGGTATTGCTGGTAATTTATTTTAAGTTTTTATGTATTTATTTTTTACTATGAAAATGTAAATTGCTGGTAATTTTTTTAATTTATTTTGATATTTTCATGTTTTGACTCCAGTTTTTTTTTTTTTGGAGGGGGGGTCACTACTTGCCCATAGCTGGGAGCCTAACTGGTGCTACCACTCCTGGTCAGGTTGAACCTGGAAACAACAGCAATCAACAGGGGGTTTCCTGCTCCTCAAAAACTCCAATCTCCCTATCAGAGGCCTTGCTGCTGGATGTAGTTTATCGTCAGACCCAGGACGAGTGAATAAGACCGGTGATCACAACGACGGAAGCATTATGACAATAACTACAAAGACGAGGACGATAAACCGAATGCAGATAATGTTTCATTGAATAGAACAAACAAAGAATGTGTATTAAGCCTCTTCATAAGTTTCTCTTAGCGTCGAATTGTCTTAACCCCGTTGTGAATATACCACTGAATTTAAATGCTAAATTCTTTTCAACCATTAACCAGTCTTTATCAAGATATAAATATTGTCTAAACAATGTGCTATTGATCTCAGATTTCTACCTCTAAATTCAACGAGATACATTATACATATGACGACGCTGGTCTTCTAGTAACGCTTGTCCTAATTCCTGACCAATGGCAATAAATTACTTCTTAATTTCCAATGCTTACATAGTGAGATAATTTTCAATGCATTTTCTAGTTATAAATCATTAGCAATGAACTTACATGATTCATATAATAGCCATCTTTTGTTAGCGCTTTCGTTAATTCCTGAACATTGACAATTCAGCTTACGGCCATAACACGTTAAAACATTGATTCTCGTATGATCACCGAAGTTAAGCAACGTCGAGCCTGGTCAGTACCTAGATGAGTGATCACTTGTGTATACTAGGAAAATTTGGAAAAATTGTTCATAAATTCAAACAAACTGAGTCGGTGGAAGACGTGAAAACACCATCGTGTAGTCGTTTACGCCGTTCAGCTAAAAACATTGCTGCAGTGCACGATTGTGTGGCTGAAAATCCAGACCCCTCTATTCGCCATCGCGCGCAGAAATTGAACCTCTCCACAACAACGTTACATCGAATTTTGACAAAAGATTTGTCTCTAGACGCTTACAAAATTCAATTGACACAAAAACTGAAACCTGCGTGACCATTTGGAGCGTCGGACATTCGTCAATTGGGTGCACGAGCAAAGACAAGCCGATGAAGATTTTTCGCAAAAAGGCCATTTTCAACTTGATGGATTCGTTAATAAGCAGAATTGTTGCATTTGGGCTGATAAAAATCCAGGGAAGATTGTTGAAAAGCCACAAAAGGTCACTGGTGTGCATTTTTTGCTAGCGGTGTCATTGGGCCGTATATTTATAAATTTGAACGCCCGTATTCGTAATAGGCTTCGATAACTTTAACACGTTGTTTGATTTTTAGTCATGGTTGACATGAAAATTACCAAAGACTTAAGTTGTTACATCGGAAAGAAAAAAAAAATAATCATTAGACGCTTAAATTTAATTCATATTTTAAATCGGTTCAAATTATTGGGACATCCTATAGTTGCAGACGGATTGTCGTTCGTGGAATGCATTTCGAAGTAATGGATTGTTGTTATTTTCCAAGGGTAGCTTAGATGTGGCACAAGGCCGAAAGTATGGGGCATCTAGTGAGGATCGAACTCACTTTTCAGTTGTAACTGATCTAGCGAGACAAGCTTGCTAACCATTACACCACGCCGAGGTGCCTGAAGTAATGGATTTTAGAATCATAATTGAAGAGAGTGAGTTGACATCGTATTATTGAGGAGGAAAACTTTTCCTTGTTTGTTTTTAAATAAACATGGTCGATATTGTTTTTAAATTTATGTGAGCTGTCCACTAGTTCTTTATGGGTCGTAAGGTATCTCAAAATCCGACGTCTCATTTTCTCGATTCTCTGTTGAAGGTTAATTGCTCTTTTGGCCTAATCTCTACCTGACTAGCCACGCACGACCAGACACGCGATTAATAGTGATTAAACCTGCCGACGGCCTTGCTTACTAAACCGGCTTACTAAAGTACTTTTTCAAAATTGTTTCAAATTCCGTTCTTCTGGTTGATTGAAAATATTAAGGAGTCCTCTTAAGCTCTCGTCTCCGGTATCTTTTGTTACTGTGTATCAAACATAGTCACCATAATCAAGCTCAGAAGCAAGGTTTATTTTAAAAAAGTCCTATCCAAACACCTCAATGGCTGGGAATATTTTCACTGTAAATAGTGGGAAGGGACTGTGAGATCATTTTAATTTAATTTATTTGTCCATAATTTTTATACAAACATGATAGCAACAAAAATGAGACCACTAGTTGAAATATCACTTGTTAATTCGTAATCTCAGTAGAAAATACCTTACAAGATTTATAGACTACAATAGAAAATATCTTCTGTATGGATTGTGCACCCAGAAAAGACCACAGAATATTTATTTTATGTGATATTAGTTAAAGCAACAACTCATTGACGTAAAAAGCGGTTATTTTAACGACACACCGGCAACCAAAATTCGAAAATCTAATAAATTTAAATTTTCCTTTCTTAAGCGTTTATTTATTATAAAATCTTGTTCATGAAATTAAAGAATTTATAAAACGCTAAGGTTTTATTTTCTCGCGATAACGCAAACCTTTTTAAGGGACTGGCTGGATCGGTGATATCATAATACTCACAAGAAGAATAAAATACAATGTAACTCTTTGCATGTTCTTGCTTGGGGCCGAAGCGAACAGAAACTAATTGGCTTGACTAAAGGAGACACACAGCTCGTGAAACATGTCCTCTTTCACCCATTCTCTCCCTCTCTCTCTCTTTTACCCATTCTCTCCCTCTCTCTCTCTTTTACCCATTCTCTCTCTCACGCTCTCTTTTTTTCCTCTTATTAGATCTATACAATATACCAAGGTTTCTGTTCGCGCACCACAGCTAAGCGTTAAATCCTGTAAGGTACTTACCAGGCTAGGGACTGACCAAGCTTGATGTTGCTTAACTTTAGTGGTCGTACGGGAACCAATGTTTCAACGTAAGCAGAATTGTCAATGGTCAGGAATTAATATAATCATTAACAGAAGTGGGCCATTATGTGCATAATGTAAATGCATTGCTAATGATTTATAACTAGAAAAATGAATTACAAAAATATTTTCATACATACACACTTTCCTTGAATGAAACTGGAAAGTATTCAACTGATCCCTAAAGTAAAAGGGGGTTGGCTTAGGCTCTTTGCCGCTAACCGTACTTGAGGTAAGACGTAAACATTGCCCGCACTCTACAAAGTAGGGCAGCAGTTTGACTAACTGACTTTTTTCGACATAACCCTTACCAACTAAGTCATTAGCTGACTTGGACTTGTTTTTATTCCTTCTACGCAACGCATGAGAACTAACGGGACAAAATATTTTAGGATTTTCGTTCTGTCAATGTTTCATAAAGAAAACAAATACTGAGTTGAAAACACCTTGCTTTTATCAACACCGTTCCAGGAACATAGTTGGTAGTTTATTTATTTATTTATTTGCTTTTGGCATGAATAAATCTTTATTATTTAATTGGATAAATAAATCAAATATGGGATGAAGTACACAAAATCGACCAGTTCCAGTTAATTCTAGAAAGTTGATTTATGCAAGAGAAAATGTTATAAATCGTTCCTATTATTGTATTAGATTTTTGCTATTTTGATATATTCTCGTTTCAATTTGTTAAAAAAATGGGGAAACAAATCACACACACACACACACACACACACATATATATGAAAGAAAAAGCTAACGCTCAGTAACATTAATTAATTATAAATACGGTCACAATGTACTGACCGTGTTTATAAAATTTATACATTCAGTTAAAAAAACCTTGATAATTGCTAAGAGAATAGCCGAAAGCGTTCGGAAAATTAAATAAAAAAAAGAAAAAAAAAAGAAAGAAAAAAGCTTAATCGCAGTATCTTGTCAGTCATCTTTAATGAAAACTATAAAAAAAGCCAAACTACATGTGTGCGCGCACACACACACACATACACATAATAAACTGCTATATCTGTTTTTTTTTTTTTGTTTTTTTTACAATATATTTTGGAAACTTTCAGAAATTAAAACAAACGTGTCTATGAACACAAAATAGTCTTATACATAACAATTTACCAAAAGCATTTGTCATACACAGAAATAAATTCAAACATCGATCTAAAGAATTCCACTCTTATTAAGAGAAAATGATTTACTTAGACGGAAAGTATCGAATTTTGCCAAAAGGTAAATACTACGTCCCGGATTTTTGTTTTCAAATATCTCCTTCCCTAAAAGATAGTCTTCTTTCGCAAGCCAATATACATGACCATAAAAATTAAAAGAAAACGTTTAAATCAAAAACTAGAGGTTCACGTGCAGATACATGGTTGCAGTATATTTGTGTATGATGGCGCACCATACCACAAAACAAATAAAATAGAACAATATCTTAAGATCGAGGTCACTATACTGGAATGGCCTGGGGCACCTCGACGTGGTGTAATGGTTAGCAAGCTTGTCTCGCCAAAACAGTTATGACTGAGTAGTGAGTTCGATTCTCACTGGGTGCTCCATACATTCGGCCTTGTGCCACATCTAAGCTACGCTTAGAAAATCATTTTGGGCACCTCGGCGTGGTGTAATGGTTAGCAAGCTTGTCTTGCTAGATCAGTTACGACTGAAAAGTGAGTTCGATCCTCACAGGATGTCCCATACTTTCGGCCTTGTGCCACATCTAAGCTACGCTTGGAAAATCTCTACTGGAATGGCCTGACAACAGCCCTGACTTCAATTCCAGAGAAAATGTATGGGATTACATGAAGAATAAATTTGCGGACAAACCAAAAGCCGAGACATGGATGCTATGAAAGATATCTGGCCCACTGGGATTTCAGCAGAATATTGTCTCATATCTCATAATCGGCATGCCACGACGTATTGGAGCGGTTATCAAGACGAAAGGTGGCCATACAAAATGTTGAAATTAATAGAAAATAAACTACTTTTAATAAATTTGATGCATTTAAGTAATTATTGCCTTTTATTTTATGCTATTGAGGTTTTGGTTCCTTTTTGTTAAAGTATTCTCTTATCTTAAACACTTGGTCACGATGGTATATCAAACAGCATCGCATAACTTGACACTAGTGGAGACTAATTAATTTATTACAGTACTAACTAATAGTTCAATCGTCATAAGTCGCTGCACTCTTAGACTTTAACCCTTACTCAGCGTAGACGTTTATTTCAGCTGGTAATGGGCGATATATAAGCGTTAGAAATTTGAGAGAAGCCTGGAATCGACGAACCTAATTTAAACTCCGGCTGGTGCAGTTTGTTTTCAATTCACACTACTACCCTTGGGAGAGGTGTGGATCCATTCCCTACCATGGTTATGGTGTTTTTCTAAGCTTAGATGTGGCACAAGGCCGGAATTATGGGGCAGCCAGTGAGGATCGAACACACTATTCAGTCGCAATTGATCTAGCGATACAGTGTAACCCGGATATAATAGAGTTGTCGGGACCGGAGAAGAAGTCTCTTATATCCGGGTTTGGTCTATATGTATACATTAACGCAGGCTCTAATTTGGGACCAGAGAAAATCTCTCTTATATCCGGGTTTCTCTTATATCCGGGTTGCACTGTACAAGACTGCTTAACTCCACTATAGTTATAGGTGCGAGAGTTGTAGTTCTTTCAGCAACCCGTCGGGTTAACAACCTTTCTTTTAGCAGCGTCGGGTTAACAACCTCTCCTCTCACAGATGTCTATAGGAATAAATTATAAATCCATATTAAAATTAAGCCCACAGTTTATTAATTCTTGTCGATTAATTTTATATTAGAATTTCATTTAAAAAGAAATACATTATTTCTTCATTTAGGAATATAAAATATTTGAAAAATCTGAAGTGTTTCACATATAAACTTCAAAACGGGTAATAAAATTTGAAATTGGCGTAGTGCAAAAACGTTTCTCTTTTAATCTCTCCAGTTATTTATTTTATTTTTGTCGAGCTTACTAATTGTTTCCTGTGTATATTTGGATTTAATGCACACAATCATCTTTTCTGCTGGTGTCGTTGTTTTGCATTGCTTCCAATAAGAGCAAAAAAGAAAAACTATGTAATAATATTGACCGGAAAATAAGCTTGTTTTCACTCGACTTTCAGCCAAATTGTCTTTAATCAATGAAATTAGTGTTTCGATGTTTACGAACCGTAAATCTCAAATCATATATTTTTACGGACTTTTTCTCCACTATGATAAACTGCTTCGTCGAAACAAGAGTTGATTAATATGACAAATCTATGTTCATTTTATTTAATTTTTGGTGGAGTTGATTTTTTTTTTCTTTTTTGTGGGGAATTTCAGGATTTTTTTTCTTTTGCTTTGGAGGATCTGTTTTATTGCTTGTAGTGTTTCCTTTTCTTTCTTTCTTTCCTTTCTTTTCTTTCTTTCTTTCCTTTTCTTTCTTTCTTTCTTTCCTTTTCTTTCTTTCCTTTTCATTCTTTCCTTTTCTTTCTTTCTTTCTTTCCTTTTCTTTCTTTCCTTTTCTTTCTTTCCTTTTCTTTCTTTCTTTCTTTCCTTTTCATTCTTTCCTTTTCATTCTTTCCTTTTCATTCTTTCCTTTTCTTTCTTTTCCTTTTCTTTCTTTTTCTTTTCTTTCTTTTCTTTTCTTTTCTTTTTTTCTTTTTTTTTTCTTTTTTTTTTTTTCTTTTCTTTTTTTTTTCTTTTTCTTTCTTTTTTCTTTTTCTTTCTTTTTTCTTTTCTCCTTTCAACTTTCGTATGTTCGAACTGATAGATTTTATTTGACTTTTTCTTTCAAAGGGCTCGTAGAAACATTGCAGGACGATTATCAGTGCATTTTAATTTTTTAAAAGAAATCTCTTTTAATTAGAAAGACAGCACCATACACTTTTTTTTTTTTTTTTTTCATGTTTGTAAGTTTTTTTTTTTTTTCTTTTCCTTCCTGGATAAATCCTGTTACCCTCTAATCTGCCGTAGCTCCTATAAGAGAGATTGGTTACCGGCAAAAACATTTTCAAGTTTTAAAACAATGTTTTTTTTTTCATTTACATAATTGGTTGATGACATTTCGGATTTTTGTTAGGAAAACAAATAGAATTGAAAAACCTTTACATCGTTTCAACATGATATACACTGCATTTCACATGAGTCATTGTTGAGTTATCATAATTTTTAGAAAACTAACGAAGATTCAGGAAATATTTGTACTTTAGTGTGTCCCACTAAAGATATAAAAATATATAAACAAAAATAAAAAGAATTAAAATATGGCATTTGCCCTTTCCTTTAAAAAATTTCTTTCTTTCTGTAAACTTCAGTTTTTATACTTCTCAACCGATGAGAAAGCAATCCTCAAATAAAAAAAGAAGGAAGAAAAGACTGAACCCGGCCAATAACAACCTAAGCTTGCAGGTGCCGAGCTTACTTATTTGTGACTGAAAATATCAAAAATCGGGGAGGCTCCACGCATAACTTCCGTTATTAAAAAAAAAAATGAAAAAGAAAGGAACGCCGAAAAATAAAGTAATTTGGTCAATCAAAAAAAAAAAAAAGAATTGACAAAATGAAACTTTTTGATGATTAGCCGAAACCAAAATTCCCGTCACAAATTTTCGAGGCCGGTAAAAAGAAATATAAACCAGATACCTCAGATCAACCACAGAGGGGACCAAAAAAGGAGACGCGGAGAGGACGGAACAAAAGAACGCTTCAGCGCGTGACGCGTTAAGAGGTCAATTGCTACTGACATTTCCGCCTTGTTCAGGGCCAATAAAAACACAAATTGACATTGACCTTATTTTTGAGATTTACTACTACCCCTGTCATGGTTTTACTTCAAAACGACAACTTTTTTGCTTCACCGAATACCAAAGGACTCGCTCATCACTCTAAAGAAAATAAATAAAAATATGTTTTAAATCCTTGGGTCACTTCGTTTTATGTGCTATATTTCCGATAAAAATAATTATCTTATCACCCTTCTAACGTGAAAGCACATGGCACAGTACTATTAATGTACAGAATAGTTCGCATATGTATAAATTCTAATGCTGATGGCACAGCTATTTACTCCTGTCTTAATAGTAAATCTGATCGATTCGATAAGGTCAAATTGTCAGCTGATCTCAAAAGTGACCTAAAATCTGTTGTTAACTGCGGCAAGGAGTGGCTTGTTAATTTTAAAGTCTCCAAAACAAAACTGCTTTTTATTAATCATCTGAGAGACTCCTTTGTGCCTTCCATCGATATGGCTAATGTTAGCATCCAGGAGAGTCTTATTGCTCCTTCAAGGGCTAACGTTCTCTGCTGGCATGAAGTGGAAAGATTATATCGAATCAGTTCCTGCTAGGAAAGTGGGTTCACTGTGTTCTGCTAGACAATTTTTTCTCTCCAGAATCTATCTTACATGTTTATAAGTGTATCATTCGTTCAAACTTCGAATGTTGCTGCCACATATGGTGTGGTGATCCTGCTATATATTTAGAGATTTTAGATGAAATCCAAAGAATCTGCAATGTTAACAAGGTATCCTCATTTTACAGTTGAACTGGCTGGATGTAACCGTATGGTATTTGCTAACAGTTTTTTTTCTCGCCTGTGGAACTCTCTTCCGGCTTCTTGCTTTCCAGCCTATTTTGATCTCCAAAATTTTAAATGCAATGTCAATCGTTATCTGCTGTCTTGATTTATGATCCGTTTATTGTTCCCGTTCCTTAATGTTTTTTCTTTTTTTCTTTCACACTCTTTCACTTGTGTCTTAGTGGCTTCATTGTCTTGCTTGGGGTAAAAATGTATAATTTATTTTATAATCGCTTTATTATTCATTATTTGTTTTGGTTTTTAGCGACGCTGGTACTCTCCAATAATTGCAAAATAATAATTATTAGTACAGAAGAAAACCCAATTCGATTTAAATTGTTTCTGGTAAATTCCCAAATAAGAAATATTATAACAAGCAAAAAAAAAAAAAAAAAAAAATTACATTATTTACATCCGGACTATTGTCCTTATCTTTTTTGTTTTTATCACATTTCGGCCATTCTGGCATAGGTACTGATTGTTTCGGACATCTAACTATCCAGTGTTTTTTTCCCTGTTCAGCATTTTTACTTCACTCTACATGGATACCCTTTTCCATCTATATGTGATCTGCCATTCCTGATTTCATTGTCTCACTCATAATCATGGCTTTTCGATGTTGCTTCAGCCTTGTTTTTCTAAGTCGACAACCCGAAATGAGTGGGGGTTGTTTGAACTGCGTGGGCCTGAAATTATGACCGTGATGCATTGCCTTGTATTTAATTCTAAAAACGGCGCAAAGACGGCTGTAAGAATTAGAAGGGTCGGCGTGTCTCGTCGCACCATGATTCTTTGGTCAGACAAGCTAGTACGTGGCGATGAGATTTTGGTTAACCGGTTGTCATTCGTCCTCTCTATCGATGTGTTGCTCGATTTCTTTTCATCATTTCACCCCAAGCAAGGCGGGAATGCCACTAGTACGCAGGGGGTTACAGAGTGAAAGTGAGAGAAAAGACTGAATATAGGGAGGATTGTGGAAAGGACAAAAGATGAACGGGATTCAAGAAGACAGAAGATGGCGATTGAATTTGCCTTTTACTTTTTGAAGATTCTAGTTATTAGGGAAGCAAGTAAAGAGAAGGGAGTTCCACAGGCTGGAAGTGCGAGAAAAGAAAGTGTTGGAGTAGAAGTTGCGGTTGCATTTAACTATTTCAAAAGGAAACGGGTGGGACCTAAATGCCAATCTAGTAGCACGCTTAAATTCATGTAGTCGGGGCACCAGGGAATAAAGCTCGTCAGATCAGTTGCCATGAAAATATCTGTAGAAAAGACAAAGTGACTAAAGTCGAGATGCCAAGTCAGGAGAAACGATGCTACAACTTCCGCCCCTCGTGAAACAAAGCGAGTAAAAATAAAATTGTCTGTCGTCGATTCAGTCTGTGATCTATCGTTTTGGTCTGAAGAGTTGACGCCAACGACGACATAAAACGCAACAAGACAGACTACATAGCACCCAGAATAACATTCCTAAGTTCCAATGTAAAATTTCCAATCGGGTTAAGATCTGTCAAACAAGCTGTGCACTTCACCAGAAAAGTTCGCTCAAAACCATTTTTAATCAGATAATCATTATTATTATGTTTTTTTTTTTTTTGGCGGGGGGGAAGAACTTTATTGAGTATAGCCATGGAAAAAGAATCTTCTCTCTTTTCATTTGGGCATCTGTGAGTATAATTTCGGCCAGTAGCCAACCAGTCTTTGCTCCTTCAAGTCTAAACGGCATTCATTGAAGAAATGAACGGTTGAAAAATCGGTTTTCATGGATTCTCATGACGATCCCTTTCTTTTTTCTTTAACAAAGCGGCTTAGTGACCGGTCTCACATATTTTGAAACTTGATTCTGGACCTGATATTTTGGACATTTTGATATTTCCTCGCTACCACAACGACCCATAGCTTGAAAAAGAAATAGAGATGTCTATCACTTTCTTTTTGATACAGGGCACAGATGAGCGAGATTTAAATTTCTCATATCGGGTATGAATCTGAATCGTCCATGATCTTCAACGAAATTCTTTAAGGTTTAATGCTATTTGACAATGTCCAGCATTTTTTTTTTTACCTTTTGCGAGCTCTGAAGTTATTAATTTTTTCTGTTTATCCATTAAACCCATCCATTTTAAAGCTTGAAACAAGTAAGTGTATTAATTACGTAAAGATATTTCAATATTTGTTTTTAAGAAGATTCTATCTCCACGAACCTTGAATTTTTTTCTTTTTTTTTTTATATATATTCCATCATATATTATATATATATATATATATATATATATATATATATAAAGTCCAGGAACACGATAATGTATATTTAATTAAACTAGTTTTTACTGAAGTACTTCGTGGTTTAAAACTTATCAATTTAAAAGTTTTTTTTTTTTTTTTTTTTTACATTTTCCAAAAATCTTATTCGGTTTCAGGAAAGATTTTAAAAAACTTTTTCGTTTTCAATAACTTGGATATTTTATTCTTGGAATTTTCCAAACAAGTTCAGGAGTAAACGAAAGAAACGTAACTCCAAACTTTTATGAAAAACATTTTTCTTTCTTTCCTGTAACTGTAAATTGGCCGATATTTAAATTGTTGTGCTGGACACACACACACACATATATATATATATATATATATATATAATTTTTTGTGAATTCGCAAACGATATATCGATCACTATAAAGCCAATCATTATCTTTCACTCTCTCACAAGATCGTCTGTTTTTATGAAAATATTTCCCTTGAGGCAAATTAAGTCTTCAATGGCTATTTTTCTGATGCATTATTGACGATGCATATTGTAACTATTTTTTGTTTGACGAAAATGAAAGATTCAGGAATTGAGGTCGCTAAGTAGCAGAAAGTATTGAACGTTCTCCAGTGTTTAAACTGACAATCAATATTTACATCGCTGTTTGGATTGTAACAATAGATGTAAACGTTTTTTCGTTGTGTTGTTTGTTTCTCTGTGTGTGTGTTTGTAAGTAAGAATTCTTAGCTTAAAAAAATCCACTAACGCAGTTGCATAATGTCGTAACTTCTCTAAGGGAGGCATTGATTACTGGCAAAGATGATTTGAAGTTTTCAAACTTTTTTTTTTATTTACATAATTCTTTAACTTTTCGGATTTCTGAAAGGAAAACAAATACAATTATTAAAGCAACAATATTTTCTGTACTCTGTACTCACATTATAATTTTTAAAACAAGCAACTTTTA